CTCTCTCTCTCTCTCTGTCTGTCTCTCTGTCTCTCTCTATATCCCTCCCTCCCTCTCTCCCTCTTTCCTTTTCTCCCTCCCTCCTTTTCTCCCTCCCTCCCTCCCTCTCTCTTCCCTCTCCCCCATTAGTATTGTGTTCTTTTTCTGTGCCCTCCCTACCAAGGGACTGTCACAACCCAACTGCCAGCTTTTGCCTTTGCACATCTACCAATGATGCCTAACTGTCAAATAGAGTACATCTCCACACAGGTAGGCCCCAGAACAACTGAAACACAACATCGTCACATAGAATTCATCTCCCAGATCTGGTCCTCCTTAACTTCCTGTCATTGCAGGTGAAGCTTTCTAGTTCCCCAGGGCAAAAGAGGCAAATGAGGTGGAGGGTTTGAGCCTCACAAGCATTTTCTTCCCATGAGAAGGTCAGATGTTTCCTACAGAGGAAAAATTCAGAACTTAGCTTTTAGTATGTTTGTGACATAGAACTTAAGAAGAAAGTTTGATTGATTAACTAGAACAAAGACCCCTGCAAAGACTAAATGTTCACAAAATCTTGAGATGAGAAGAAGATAAAAAAACTAATTTCATATTTACTCCCAGATGCCCAAGAACAACTCACCTGGCTTCTGCTTCTGGTGTGGACCTCAATTTAAGTATGTGACAAATGGGACTTACTGCTGTCCTGCATAGTTGTAGCTATCACAAGACACAGCCTAGAGTCATCTGAGAGAAAAACCTCCACTGACTGAGGAATTGCCTAGGTCAAACTGGCATGTTTGTGAGGCACTGTCTTGATTACTAATGTTTGTGAGTTAGAGAGTTTATCATGTTCTTCTGTAAGCTATCTCATAGCTCCTCATTTGCTTTATTTTTACTGCTATGGCTGTATGTTACCACAGGGTGGCAGCTGCAGACAGATACTAATCCTGAGGAAAGGATGGTAGTGAGGAGGCCATCTCCTAAGGCAAGAATAGCCCACCTTCAAGCAATGAACTTGAAAGCAACTTATTGTTTTACACACCCTCTTGAAATACAGCACAGAAAAAGAAAAATATGTGCTGGGCAGAGTTTAAAATGGAGTGAGATTCAGTTCTAACAGGTCTGCCCAAATCCAAAGTGATTTGTATTCTGAAGCAATGGAAGAAGAAGAAGCAAGCTAGCTGGTGCAGAGATTCCCCAGTGAGTGTAGACTAGCAGAGCATTGGTAATAGTAGTGATGACATTATTTGCAGCAGAAATACCAGGATTCCCTTAATTACTGTGGAACATCAGCATGCCTCTGGGGACACTGACATGCTGCAGGAGCCCCCACCCCACCCCCCAGCACATATTTAGAGAAGAGATGCTCCTGTCCAGTAAACAGATGTTCAGGGCACTCCATCAGAACATAAACATGAGCTCAAGCGGCCCCTCAAGTCTTCCAAATAGGAAAGAAATTGGTAAATGTCATGGCCTTTTACCAGAGGTGTGGTGCTTCCTAGAACCACATGTTATCTCAGAATCAGACTAAAAGCCTCCTGAACAACCTCAGAGCTCTGTGTAATGGAGATAGTTTTTTGCAGGAGAATGAAACCCAGCTCTTTTCCCTAATCTGCCCACTCTTTTCCATCTATCACTGTGGGGGCGAGTGGAAGGGTCAAGGCCTTGCCAATTCCACTTAGTCACCAGTTGTGATCCCCTATTAGGAGTAGAATGGAATCAACATCCTGGAGAAATACAGGGGAAACTGATGCCAGATAGGTAAAATAATTAAGTGTAGAAACCTGTTAGTAAGATAGAAAACCTGTGGTAACAGAATTTCAGAACGTTAAAAAGTTGGACAAACATAGGGAGCACATCACTCCGTGTACTAGATACAAGCATTTCTTGATTCATATTATGCAGAGGGTTCTCAAAACTCTAAGATAAGGACATAAAGCTAGAGAAGACCTGGCTGCTACCCAAAGCTCTGAAAGAGGAAAGGTTTCTTCCTGAGTTATTTGTGATGCCTTTGTCCTGCAGGAACAGAAACAGAGTTAGCCGACACGGCCTTGGATCTGATCCTGCTGCTGTTAATGGAGCAGTGGACATGGCTGTGTACTGAAAGCATGCAGAAGTTCCTCCGCCTTATTTTTGGAACTCTAGTTCAAAGGTAAGATTGCTGAACTCTCTGTCACATTACAGCCTCAATTTGCTAAGTAATTGGACATGAAACTCGTTTTCTGTACTAGGAAGGTTAAAAAAAAACAACCCATGACCTTAGCAAAAGGTAAATTCCTTAAACAAAGGTGTGGGGAGGAAGTCCCTATCAGAAACCCTTTTTTAACCACCTTGTCTAAACTTTGAATATATCTAATTCTCTAAGATTTCTCACATATATAGCACACTGAATTACAGACATTGCGTGTATTCTTAGAGTACTTTAATTCAGTCTGCCTAATCCAGTACACCAGTTTAACACATTAGAGATTCCTCTAATACATTAGAGATTCCACACTCAGGGCACCAAAATGCGGTCAGTTTAAATACATTAATGACTGCCTCAGTCACCAAGTATGCATGAGTGTCACATTAAGAAAGAAATCAAAGCACTTCCCCTTGGAGTCATTTGACCAAGAGTGAGCCCAGACTTCAATTCTCCACTTCTCTTCGGTGTCACCTCTCTCTCTGCAGCTTATGGTTTCTGGCCTGTCTGTAATCTGTCTGTTGTATGAGTATGAATTTTTGTCACTATGGCTGACTGAATGTTGTCTGTTTTGTGTCCCTGTGTGTCCCTAATAAAAGACTTTGCTCTGTATTTATTGGACAGCACTGAAAACCTCACATGGGAAGGAAGGAGGGCTTCTTTACAGAGTTTTATAAGGAGTCAGTCTTGGACTCTGACTGATCGCAAATAACAAAAGTTATCAAGCAATACACACATGCTGCTTCCAGCATTTGTGGTGGATATTTGTTTTATAAGGTTGCTTTTAACCTATTTTCTGTTTTCTGCATTTATTACCATAACTCACATACACACATGTGTTACTCATAGGTCAGGGCATGAAAAGACTACACAACATTAAGGCTATATATTATCTTAGGTTGTAAACCTTGATTATGTGGGAAAGTCAAGGCAAGTAAGGTTTGTTGCTACATTGTTCTCTTAAATTCAAGTTAAAGGAGCAGGCTGGGAACATACAGTCTTAGTCTTACGTGACCTCAAAGTGTGTTCTTATTAACTGTGCTTCAAGGTCCAGCAAAAGTTTCAGTCTCCTAGAATGTAAGAGAGAGTTTCATAATAATGTACCATCGTACTCTAGGATCAGTTCTCCATCCTTACATCCCCAGGCCTGTCTGTCTTTCACCTTTGTGCAGTGAGCATTTCTCTTAATAGTACATAGTGCCTTCAGGATGGTAACACAGAAACTTGCAGCTTAGCTTTATCTGGGCTTTACAGGTGGCTTGAATGATTTATGAATAGATGGAGGTTTCTATGGCTGACTTCTTATCCATTGTTATGTCTTTCTCCATTCTCTCATGTTTGACATAGTAACAAACATTTTTCAGATACTAAAGATCAGATTTCATTCACTCTGTGGAACTTTTTATGGTACCTTCTCACTTTCCTCCAAAATTAAGGGGCCCTCTTCTCCACTCATCCTTTTTGACAGATAATTATGACAGGATATTATATAAATTATCCATTTTCTCCAAAGTAGTGATTCTCAACAGGGTTCTTTTGTTCTCGGGAGACATTTAGCAGCATTGGGGGAGTTTTTGACATCACAATAGGGTAGGACGGTAGGACTGCCCCCAAGCAGGCATCTTGTGGGTAGAGCTCATTGATGCTACTTTCCATTTATGTTAAACAGGACACTCCCCACTGTACTCCCACCCCACCTCCATGCACACACAGTGAGGACATATTCTTCCCAAAATGCCTCTAGTGCTAAGATTGAGAAATTGTTCCTTCACTGTTAGCTCAAGGGCCACAAGGACCTACACAGGTGCTGAGCCTGGTAGAGCCTCTGCAAATATTGGACAGAAGGATAAACATTTTCCTTCTTCATATTTTCGCAGTTATAACTCTGTTGTGTTTTCCTCTATTATATGTGAGTGTTGCTAAATGGGCTTTTATTTCTCTTCACCCTTTACTGATCTTTCCTTTACTTCTCTAAGTAAGGGATTTTGAGAGTTAAATGACCCTCAGCATTGTAACCTGAAATCTGGTAGTAATGAGTAAATGGCATCTGGTAGTCTGTGAGCACCCATGATCCCTCTTCACTGAAGACATTTACATGATGAGCTACTTTGCAAAGAAGCATCAGGAGAAACTGGAAAGAAAGATTGAGATCCGTGACTTAGAAGTTGGAAAAGGTCAACCTTCAGTGGAATAGCTCAGAATGTTATAGTACTTGGGCCAGTTCAGATACAGAACAGAGAACTTTATCCAGAGAGCAGGAAGACCATTGAAGAACTGGTATGTCACAGGGGAGTTCAGTCCATGTGAAGCACACCTCCAGGGATACATAAACACAGAAAAGGTTGGCCTCATTTCACAATTCAAGCCAGGTGCAGTACCTCAGCAGGAGTAAATAGGAGGGGAAAAGTAATGCTGTGCTAGTCTGAGCTGTCTCTTGTCTCAATGGTGGAAAGTTGTCTAAGCTGTCTTACAATACTGATCCGATCCAACTCTACCTTAAAGTGCTTGTCTTACTCTCTTACTGGGGCTCTAATTTGGTCTTCTATCTTCAGTCATTTTTTTTTTTTTAATATTACTAAATGCTGGTCAGTAGTGTTCAAAACAGACATGAGTCCTGACTTTTTTTTTTTTTAAATAGACATATAACTTTATTTAATCAGTTACATGACAGGTCTGCAAATTTCAGTTAACTTCTACAAATCTAGTTATTACTAGCCATTATTGATTGACAAGAAGGCTTACTATACCAAGTACTGCACATTGTGTGTGCAACTAGCAAGTGACAATTCAAAGGCCCCTTGTATAGACTTTTTTGCCACTGCCTTTTTACAAATCTCCATGTAAAAATGCATTTAGATATTCTCCATGGTCTGGATTTGCATGTACTTTTTTGTATATAACAATATAATGGGTGGGTGGTGGTGGTGGTGGTGGTGGTGGTGGTGGTGGTGGTGGTGGGTGGTGGTCGAAGTGGCAGTAGCAGTAGCACACGCCTTTAATCCCAGCACTCGGGAGGCAGAGGCATGTGGATCTGTGAGTTGAGACCAACCTGGTCTACAAAAGCTAGTTCCAGGACAGCCTCCAAAGCCATAGAGAAACCCTGTCTCGAAAAACAAAACAAAAACAACAACAGCAACAAAAAATATATATAATAAGGTAAGCACTGAAACTCAGGCCTTGCCCTTGATTGAAAAGTAAGTGAATGGTGGAGCAGTATTCAGCCCAGCTGCTCCAAAACCGGGGTTCCACTACCACAGACTGCTTTCCATCTTTTATTCTCTGAACTTGTTTTCCTCATCTGTAAAGTGGGTTTAATAATGCTATTTTTACTTTATGTGTATTACGAACTTGCCAATAAATGTTGGGTCTTAATATTTGTTCTTCAGAATAGGAAACAATAAAATCAAAGCTTATGTTTCTAGTAACTCCAGGTAAGGCTCCAAATTAGCTCCACTTTGAGTGTTTAAGATCTTTAGGCCATGCCACTGTCCTGTAGCCGGCTGCTACCATCCCTTTTGTGCCTGACTGAGGAACACAGAGTTGAGCTTGCAAACAGTGGAGGCTCCATGAGGCTTTGAAGGTAATGTATACCAGTGGGTTCTTTTGTTAGGGCAACAATCAAGAAAGTTCCAGACATATCAGGAGCAGAGGACCCATGCCCTGGTCCAAGGCAGAAAGACAAGTACAATGTCTAGGTTTATCATGTTTTGCACATTTATATTTCTGGTAACATGGGCAGGGAGGACTTCTGGAACCTGTTCCTAATGAGAAGAGTTTGGGGATCAAGCTAAGTACCCTCTCTTTCTTTCCTTCCCTCGGACACTTCCCTTAGAACCTATTAGTCAGGCTGACAGCTGTCTGGTGATTGAAGAGTGGCAAAGCCCGTGTGCAACTCTATCTATAATGGCAATCAAACAGGATATACTTCCAACTCCCCTGATTCATTTGCTTTTCCCTTTGTGTTCTCCGGGATTTTGTTCTTTTCTTATATTTTGCTTTATGAAGAAGAAATGCTATTTGGAAAAGCAGGAGTACTGGAGTATGTTTGATGACTGTAAATGCCTGGACAAAACTGGCTTCGGTAAAAAACTCTGACTCTGGTCAGTACTACCTGTTCATCCAGGTATTCCCAGGTTTTGTTGTTATTCTTCAGGTACTTCTTGTCAAAAATGTCTTATTTCTATCTACTCATTTTCCCCTTGACCATGTTGCTTTCTGTTAGTGCAAGGTTTAGAACAGCAGTGGTTGGCACCCTGCTCCCTTCCACAGGCTGGAGTTAAATGAATACCATCTCCTTCCCTGTTCAAGACTTCTCTTTTCCTACAAATCATTCCCCATCTTTTTATAGTGTTTTTGATTTGTTTCTCGGAATCCTTTCTAGTTTTATAATGTTCTAGATGCTTTCTTAATAGGAGGAAGGTGGCAGGGGTCATGGTCTTTGAAGAATGGAACACTTCCCTCAACCCAAAAGCTTCCAAGGACCTGACCCCTATGGCCCATAGTCTTCCATCAACAAGTCCCCACATGTGTGGTAATATACAGAGTATCGCCATGGATAATCTTATTGGCTTAAGTGTATTTACTATGCAGCAAATGTCTATTGAGAGATTAATTCACTCAGACATTATATGTGATACTGAGGATATTTTACAGTTTAATCCCTTTAAAGAGCTCTGTGAAAGAGGTATTATGATCCCCCTCTTCTAACATGAGGTTTATAAGGAATTCGGGTTATTAAATCAAACCATAAAGTTCATAAATAACACATGCAGAATCTAAAACACATTTTCCCACTTTTCATCTATAGTGATTCTCTTAACTTCCAGGATCAGACCTTTGCCCCATGATTTCAAGGGTCAAGAACCACTAAAAATCACTGCTCAGAGTGGGAAACATTCCCTTGGTGGAGCTTATCAAGTATTCATAGACTCCAAACTGTATGTCCATGTCTACATGGAGCAAGGAGA